TCATCCAAAGGAGAAGTGAAAGTGTCAATCTGTGTTCTGTATGTCTCCCACACATAGGGACAAATAAATACAACACACACACATGCATACATACAGCCCTCCACAAACACAACAAATCAGGTATATTTTGTATAGGTCTAGTTTCAATATTTCCAGTACTGGAGGTATGGGTGGATCATGCATTCAAATGGAAGCATGCTTATTTTTCAGAAGACGTTTTTGGTGCATAGAGATTTTATTTTATCCTCCTGGGTAGCTGCTTTCTTCTCTTATAGAAAGGAGCAGGAGGAAGAACAATGGGAATTAAAGAAGGAATGCTATCTGGACTTGGGAAAGAACTTGACAAGTAGGCTTTATGTTGCCTTAAGTTTGAATTAGACTGTTCCATTGGGAAGTTGCACTGAATTTGAGAAGGCCTTAAAGCAGATTGACTGCTATGACTATTTATAGAGTGTCTATGTTTATAGAGTATCATTCTATCAGGAAGCAGAAAACAGAACCATCCATTAAAAAGGATCCCCTATGGCAACACCACTGTACACATAGCTAAGCATCCTGTACCATGGACTGTAGTATTTATTATACTCCATTTCAGTTCATATTATTATCATAAATAGTCCTGTTTTAAATCAATAAGTATTATAGTGTTGGAAAGGTATTCAGATTTATGTATCAATTCATCGGGAAGATTATGGGAGAATAAAATTAGGTTTGTTTTTGAATACTACATACTTAACTGTTTAAGTAATTTCTGTGCTAGCACAACTTGAATATGCATGATTATATGATGAGAATTTGTACTATTGAAAGCAAGAACCCAAGCATTAAAAAAGTGTATGTTTATAAATGTAAATAAATTTTCAGTTGTTTTTGTCTTTACTAGAGACATAGAAATGCCACAAATGGAGGAATTTTAAAGAGACATATCTCTTAAGTAAAAAAGTAATTCCATCATATGCTAATGCTTCTTCTAAGTTCTGTTTGGCTTAAGATGTTGTCACTTGGTTGAATAGATGTGTTAAAGGACTCACATCTTTTACCTAATTTCCTAAGATTAGGACTTGAAGTTAAGTAGCCAGAGGGACCAGACTGTGTCTCATTTCAGCACTATCTGGTTCCTCTTTGTGGCTTGTGGGCTGGTCAAGGGCTCATATGTGATCAGAAGGATAAATACTTGGCTTGTTGTTTCCAAGAGAAGCAACTATTCTGCTTCTTTCACAACGTTTGGAGGAGGTTTGTGTATCACAAACTGAGGATCTCTGCCAACATAGAGAACTGAAGAATATTAGCTTATCTCAGTTTTATTTCCCCTAGATACTGGATTACCTCATCTTCCCATGAACTATGATTTTTAAATGTCACACGGCATTATAAAAGAGCAGTGTCGTGTTTCTACATATGCCATCCCTTATAAAATATTAAAAGCACTGTTGTCCAATAAAACAAAGACAAGTAAAATGACTATTTAGGAAAGGGGGAACATTTCATGATTTGCTGTTTATTTATATGCTCAAAATATTATTGCTAGAACCTTTCTGTGCTAGGATTGTCTGATGGCTCATAATTTGTCTTGTTTCAGTCTTTCTACACTATAAAAGTAATGTATGTTCAGTACATTAAAATATGTCTAGGGCACTAAAAATTGGTTAATATGGTCTGTTCTATCTGCAATTCCCAAGTAAGTCTTTTTGTTTCCTTTGTATAAAATCGAGATGACTTTATATTAACCGTTTTCCTCTTTTTTGTTCCTATGACATTGCAAAATGTTTTGGGGATACACTTCTGTCGCTAGATCTCACACTTTCTACATGACCTAGAATTATCAGATTCATAGCACAATGTACGTGCTATATTCTCGTTATTTTCCTGATGGACTTCCCAGTTTTGTCCAATGCTACAGGTCACCCTACTGCCAGAGAATTTAAAGAACCGGATACTGCAGCCAGAATTAAGAATCTGCAAACTTTGTAAACCAAACACATTGGGTCAGAAGATAGAGAGCTTTCCACCAAAGAATGCCCATCTCCTCACAGCTCTGTGGACTGCAATGATAAGCTGTCTGGTCTGTCCTTGGTGGATATCTCGGTCAGCTTCAACACCAAGCTATGAGAGGAGCCCAGTGCAAATGTAAACTGAGAAAAAGCAGAGCAGAGTCCCAAAGATAGGCAGCCTGGCTGCTGGCTCTCCCTGGCTCTCCACTTCTGACCTGGTCTTAAGAATCTCATTACTGAATGTGTCTGACACACTTTCAGAGAGTTTTATGATGTTTTCATTTCAAAAGTTTCTGTGTGGCATAATAATGTAAGGCAAAAGGAACAACTTCCTAAATAGCAAAGCAGTTAACTCAGGGTCCAGAATTCTCCTTCCATGCTCATCACTGTAATCACTTTTTAGAAGCTCTCTTTTTAATATTAACGCTGAGATTTATATACAATGTACAAATGTAGACAGAATTAGAAGTCCTCTTTTGGTAGAAGTAAAAAAACTTTTGACTTTTCTTAACTTGTTATGAAATGTACCATTTCATTTTACACATGTATCATTGAAATATTTAAAGTATTATATCTTAATATTTTTATTTATGTTGATATCTTCAGCCTTAAGGCTATGGACCATCAAGCAAGAAATCGAGGGTCTGGTCCGTGAAGCCAATCATAGTGTGCTGGCAGTTACAGGGCGAGATGATTCTTGTAGATAAGCATTTGATCATGGGCGTCATTTCTGAGGCAATGATAACTGACTAGGGATAGAGTCAGGGCCCAAGAACAAATTCAAGATGGCATCACTCAGTTCTTCACAAGCTATAGGAAAGACACCTTAGGTGAAATGACTTTATCATGAGTAGGGGTTCTCCCAAACTAACAGATATTTAAGATAAAGAATTTCTGTATATGTGTCACACTATCTCTCTTACACACACACACGCACACACACACACACACACACACACACACTGTGCGGGGGTGGGGGGAGCACAGAGGGAAAAATTTGAACATGCACAGTTCCCTGTTCAGAGTTATTGAAGAACAGAATCTAAAGGATGCCTATGTGCAGCTAGCTGCATATATAACCAGGACTTTATGATTTTCTCTTAACAATCCATGTCATTTTGATTTCAGGGTTAACTGGACTAAGCTTCTCTCCAAAATTAGATTAGTGGTTATGCACTTTTAGTCAGTCATTGAACCTCTCAGCCCCAGTGGCTGCATCCATAAATGTGGACCATACGCCATTACCCTTATAGAATTATGAGGATATTAAGTGAGGAGATAGACACAAACAATTATTAATACTATTAGAGAAATGCTGTTCTCTTTGATAGAAAATTCAAGATATCTCTAGCAGGTATCTGGAGGATCCTGTAGCAGAATCTTCTTGGTAGGATTAAAGGGGGTACACGACAGGGTGGTGAAGTGAGATGCAGAGAGAGAAGATGCAAGCAGTTGCTCATCAATGGTCTTACAAGGGTAGAGAGATATTTACCCTTTATCTCGTTGCTTTTCCACAAAGCAAGTCCTGTGAATCAGACAGGCTAGTTGTTGTACCTGATATGTAGAAGGGAAACTGTGACTCATAAATTTCAATGAATTGACCACTGTCACTTGCAAATCTACAATCAAGTGGACTCTTTTGAACTAAAATTTCAATGCTCTCTATACTTCTCTGAGCTGTCAATGCCAGACACTTGGCGAATATCAAACAGTGAAAGTCTAATTCCCAGAATGTGTCTGCAAACCTCATGCAAAGCTTATGAAAGCAGATTGACTAGCACAGCAATAGAAGGCCTTTTGTAGGGACACTTAGACTGCCACCACACTCCTGAGGAACACATGGGGCACCACATGAGTTCTTATGTGTGACAGACAACAAGAGCTGTGTTCCTAATTCCAAATGAGGTGTATCTGCATGCGTTCATTTGCTTAATAGCATTTTCTGAGTGAAAGTTGATTGTTTTAGAAGAGCCACCCTTCGGTTACTGTGAGAAGGCTGGCTTGCTTTCCTAGACCAGAGTTTACTGTCAAAAAATACCAGAAAGGATTAATTCTATCCTTTGGGAGGACACTGGGCATATTTTGAGTTCTGAGGTAATCTTCTAGAGAGCATACACCTTCTGTTTGTTGTCCCTCTGAGTACAAACACCCTGCAGATGGTCTCTCTCTCTCTCTCTCTCTCTCTCTCTCTCTCTCTCTCTCTCTTTCTCTCTCTTCTCAAGGTCTTGCTGGAACCCGATCCATAATGCCTACTCAGCAAATGCTTTCTGCTACCAACACAGCTTCTGAGTTACATACAGTTCAGTATCAAATCCTAGGGAAGCTTTATAAGAAAAGAAAATCATATGAAACAGGGTCAGTTAAGATTTTTAATAATATTTAACAATTTTGACCTCCTGTACATTGGATGATTTCTTAGGAATTGCGAAAGATCATTGGTAGGAGGTTAAAGGATGATGGGGAAGGTGCTAGCAATGACTGTGCCCACCCAAAGGCAGGGAAACTGTGCCCAGGATAAACATGAGTCTAATGAAAACTTTACCTGTGTCAGAACAAATGAAGTTCCAACTGTGGAGAGAAAGGCCTTAAATACAAAGTGGAATTTATTTCTAAAGAACAAGGGGAAAGTGCTTTGTTTATTCCCCACAATTACAGTGATTTGGTTTCAGCCTAAACAAACACCACAAGCAAATACTCTGGGAGTGGCTATACCCGTCCGTTTTCATTGGCTTCCAAGCTCTGGCTTGGCTGATTCATCCATAGAAAAGCAGAACAAAAGTCTAGGTCTACTACACCCTCAAGCGTTCAAGTGGTGCTTTGGACTCCGGGGTTATTTATAGCGATCTGGCTCACAGAAGCGCTTCCTGCCCTATTCAGCAAATGTTCACGTGTCTAAGTGTGCCACCCGAGATCAGATCTTCAAGCGATTTTGATCTAGCCATCGGTGTCTGGGGTGACCCTTTACCTCTGAACAGGCTCAGTTTTCTTATGCTCACATTCTATCTATAGATGCTGTGATGAGGACAGATTCATCGGAGATGACTGATGTGGAGTCTGTGATCAGCAGCTTTGCATCTTCAGCAAGGGCAGGCCGACGCAATGCCTTACCTGACATCCAGAGTTCCGCTGCTACAGGTGGATCCTCTGATCTTCCCCTGAAGCTGGAGGCATTGTCCATGAAGGAAGGTAACACTAATCCTCTGAAATAAAACCCACAGCATGACTCCCTTTTAATCTTTCTCTTTGGCGCAGCCTTTAAACTAGGTTTTTTTTTTTTCGTTCTCTTTCTTCTTGACTGAAAGCTCTCAGGTTTTAAGGTAAAATAGATTTCTATGCCCTTCAGAAACTAGATAATTTAATTTTGATGTCCTAAGGGTGTACATAGAAACTGTTGTTCTATCGGATGTGTATGGTCATGTGCTAGAATTCTAAGTTCACTCTCCAGTACAAAGTTAATTAAAAGTTATCATAAATAGTAACCATTGCACTGGAGCTGAGTTTTGTGGCTCATGGCTAGTTCATTATGTGTCTTAGCCTACTACTTACAGTTTGAGAACCCTAATAAGGAAGACAATGACCCTTCTCGCACAACAACAAGAGGTGATGGAAGATGATGTTTCAGTCACAAAATATCTTTTCTTGCTTCTATCACTGCTATTTTGTCTACCATTCAATTTTATGCCTAATAAATATTAGGGACCCTAGTGGTGCGTAGGGCAGATGTGAAATCCTGCTGTCCCAGATTTTGTAGTTCAACAGAAGTGTTAGATATGATATGCTTTATCAGCTAATGGAAATAGGGTGCTTTGTGGAGGGTTCCTGAACATTAGAATAGACATCAGAGAAGCTCATCACTGAAATCAGAATAACTCATGAGGCTGAGGCAAGAGGATTGCTGTGAGATTGATGCTATCCTGGGATACTCAGTGGGATTCAGTACAGCCTGGGCTAGTGTGAGGCACTGTCTCAAATAAAACCACCATAATAGCAATTGATACACCAGTGCAGATAGGGGAAATGCCAGATGGTCCTACACTAAGTGAAGAGCTTCTGGAGGTCAGTGCCTACTAAGAACCAGTTACCTGCAGAGACAAATTACCACATAGATTGTTCAGTCTCTAGTGGTCAGCCTTGAACATGTGTACATATGAGAAAAGCTAAATAGACTCAGTAAGGTTATATATACAAGTGTGTATGTACATACATATGCTTACAAAAATAAATAAAAGAGGTTATGAATTTGCATGGGGAAGGATGGAGTTGGAGAAATGAGGAATATGAAAGAAGTGCTCATGTATGAAATTCTCAAACCCTCTCTTTTTAGAATCCTTAAAAATCAATAAAACTCAGCAACTCTTCTCTGCATATAAGAATAATCCAGCTAGAAGATGGGGCAGAGGAGAATGAATAACTAAGAATGTAGAATAAACATCCTTTGGGTAAAGCAGACAGATGTCTAGAAATAAAGACTGGCCACCGTGGGTTGAGGGTGAAGTAAGAGGAAAAGTACCACAAGAAAAGAACTTGGGACATATAAGCAAGGGCCAGACCTTGTGAGATTAGAGACAATGACTGCCAGGACCCAGATGTCTTCATGACCTCATGTTTTCTTGCCGCTGTTACCTACTTCTCTGTATCATGATAATGTGATGTTCTTTTGACTACTATTTTTCTTTTTCTCCCCTCTCTTCTCTAATGCTAGTAAGACTACATTCCGTCTCACCTATCTATGCCATTGTCTTTGCTATAATTGTTGGTCCATTCTTAGCCTTTTTCTAGCATGACCTTGCAAAATGTTATCATGATTGATTAGTTCATCTTCCCTTAAAGAGTGTCCTTTGATTCCCAGGACACTTTGGTCTCATGGTTTTCTTTTTCCTCATTGACTTTTTCTCTTTGGTTTTCTCTTTGCTCATATCATCAATCACTTGATGGAATAGAAAGTATAAAGTACAGTATTTTGACAACTTGGTCACTATTTCTTTGCTTCTAATTGCTATCTGATCTCATTGTATAGTTTGTATCCTTCTGAAACATAGATTTGGATCTTATATCAGTTCCTTTTTCCTGTTACAAATGACCAAGTAACTGACAAACCCATATTAAGGAAGGATTTTTTCTTTTATTAAAAACAGATTTTTTTCTCAAATAATATGTCTTGATTACAGTTTTCCCTCCCACTCCCACTTCTTGCTCCTCCCCACATTCCCTCCCATCCAGATCAACCTCATTTCTTTCATTTGAAAACAAACAGGTTTATAATGGATAAAAAGATAATAAAATATAATAAAACAGAAACTAACACGTTGGAATAGGACAAAGCAGACAAATAGAAGGAAAGGAGTCCAACAAAAGGCACAAGAAACAGATAGAGAACCATAGACCACTTGTTCAGACTCAGGAGTTTCTTAAAGGCACTAAACTGGAAGCCATGATATATATGCAAAAGACCTGTATGGTAAAAAGAGAAGAGGAAAAATGCTTATGGAAATAAAAAAGAAAAAAAATAAAAGAAAAAGAAAAGCCCTGACCTGACATTATGGGAAAAGGAACCTCCAAAGATAACTTTGAGTTTATTTTCTGTTGGCCATCTGCTGCTGGGCACGCAGCCTACCATTGAGTAGTTTGTTTCCCCAGTGAGACTCTCTTAGAGAAAACTAAATTTTCATTTTTAAGTGGTTGTTAGTTGGAAATTGCTTCTGCCTTAAGGATGGGGGCAAGTATCTCCTTGACCTTTCAGCTCTAAGACCCCACCTAGGGCAGATTCATGTAGGCCCTGTGCATGTTGCCTGAGTTTCTTTGAGTTCATTTGATCTGCATCCATCATGTTGATTTTGTGGGCCTTGGTTTTGGGGTCCTACATCCCCTTTGGTTCTCACGCATTCTTCCTGTCTCCTCTTTTGCACAATTCCCAGATCTCTGAGGGGAGGGATTTGATGGAAACATCCATTTAGGGTAGAATGTTCCAAAGTCTCTTAATCTCTGCATGTCTGGCTGTGGGTCTCTGTATTTATTCCCATCTGCTACAGGAGGAAGCTTCTCTGATGATGGCTGAACCAGGCACTGATCTATGAATACAGCAGAATCTTACGAGGAACTATCTTATTGCTATATCCTTTTAGAACAATGGTATTTGCTGTTACCCTAGATCCATGGACTGTCTAGTCTCAAGTTCTATGTCACCAAAGAATTGTCAAGTATGGGTATGGAGGGAACCTTCAGTAAAATCAGATATTGGTTGGTTATTCCCAAAAACTTTGTGCCACCTTCTACCAAGTGTATCTTGCAGGCTAGACACCATTGTAGATCAGAGAGTTTGTGGCTGGGTTGGTGGGTTTTTTGTTTTTTGATAGTGTGCAAAGTACCTTCCTTATACCAAAGATGCTGCAATGTAGGCACCAGTTTGGTATATCCATGTTCAATGAGTTGCGTAGTTGTTATCATAGGCAATGCGAACTAGCTATCAGTTTGTGGAGAGCAACCTATAGCCTTGGCAACAGCCTAGGTTGTTTGGGTGTTTACAGGGGGATCTCTCTGGCCAGGCTAGTTGGCTCTACCCTAGTATTTGGCTATTTAATATAGATTGCCTTCACATATGAATATATTTTAGTACTTCTACTACATTAAGTTTTCATGTAACACCTCAAATGGTCATTAGTTTTATCTGCCCTTACATGTATTTCTTCCCTCACTCCCTTTTCACTCCCTTTCCCCATTTGTTTCTCCTGTTCTAGTATTAGCTATCCATCCATAGCTATCTACTCTGTCTCTCATTCCTAGGGTGATCCAATCCTCCCCATCTGTCCCTTACTCACTACCTAATTTCTGTGGTTATAAGGATTGTTACTTGCTTATCAATGACTTAACAGTTAATATACATATGTTAGTGAAAATATACCAAATTCACCTTTTTTGGTCTGGGTCACCTCACTCGGTATGATTTTTTCTGTTTTACCCATTTGCCTGCAAATTTATGGTTTTGTTTTTAAAGCACTGAGTAATAATTTCTATTGTGTAAATATATTGCATTTTCTTTATCCATTTAGAGGGACAACTATGTTGTTTCTAACTTCTGGCTGTTAGGAATAGAGCAGCAATGAACGTGAGCAAGTGTTTCTGTCGTAGAATAAAAAATTCATTGAGTTTATGCCCAAGAGTGGTATAGCTTGATCTTGAGGTCTATCTACTCCCATACTCCTGAAGAACCATCACACTGATTTCCATAGTGGCTGCACAAGTTTGTGCTACCACCAGCAAAGGAAGAGTCTTCCCCTTACTCCAAATCCTAACCAACATGAGCTGTCATTTGTTTTACTGACCTTAGCCATTCTGACAGGTCTAAGATCAAACTTCAAAATACTTTTGGCTTGCACCTCTATGGCGATTAAGGATGCTGAATGTTTTTTAAGTGTTTCTCAGCTATTTGGGTTTTCTCTTTTGAGTATTCTCTGTTTATATCTGAGCTCCATTTTTAACAAGGCCATTTGTTTTCTTGATATCTTGCTTTTGGAGTTCTTTATATATTTTGGATATTGTTGTTCTATCAAATGTGTAGTTGGTGAAACTCTTTACCATTCTTTAGGCTGCTCTTTTGTTCAAATTATGGTGTCCTTTGCTGTACAGACTCTTCTCAGTTTTATGAGGTTATCCTATTTATATATCGATGATCTTAGTGTCTGTGCTAATAGTGTCTTGTTCAGAAAGTCTTTTCCTGTACCAATGAGTTCAAAGCTATTTCCCACTTTTTCTTCTATCAGATTCAGTGTACCTTGTTTTATGTTGAGGATTTTGATCCATTTTGAATTGAGTTTTGTGCAAGGTGATAAGTATGGCTCTGTTTTAATTCTTGATAATTGTTATCACAGAAAGGTTTAGTTTTACTCACAGTTTAGAATGGTAGTTCTCATAATAGGGGGATGTGACATGATAAGATGTGAGGTAGCTGATCAAACTGCATCTATCATGAAGAAGTAGAGAAAGCCAAATGCCAGTTCCCAGCTTCCTTTCTTTTTCCCCTTTTCATTTAGTAGGCCTCTAGCTGACTAGATGGTGCCACCTACATTCAGATTGGGTCTTCCCTTCTCACATCAAACTGCCTTAAAATGACCTCACATGTATACCCGAAAAAATACCTCCGGGGTGATTCTAAATCCAGCCAAGCTGATAATATTAACTACCCTTTATCAGCTTGACATCCAAGCATATAAAATTTTAATTGTAGCAATCAACTCTTTACACTATAGCCCTGTGGTTATCAGGTAATGCAAAATGAATTCAATTTAACTTCAAAAGTCTGTAGTCTAAACAGCTTCAACATCATTAGAAAATCTAGAACCCAAAACCTTTCCTGAGATGCAAATGTGAATCCTTAGGAAATCAAAAATAATTTGTATACAATGGCATAGAATCAAAATTCCCATTCTATGGGGGAGGAAGAATAGGGACATCACAAGGAAAGAAGCTAAAGAAGCCCAAATTCATCAGGAACAACACCAAATCCTGCAGCTCCGTATCCCCCACCTGGCACTTTTCATGGCATTATGTACCATGGCTTTTACAGGGGTCACCTAAGACCACCAAAAAACACAAATATTTATATTTATATTACGATTAGTAAGAATGGCAACGTTACAGTTATGATGTAGTGAAGAAAATAATTTTATTGTTGGGGATCACCACAAAATGAGAAATTATATGAAAGGGTTGTAACCTTAGAAAGGATGAGGACCACTACTCTAGAATAGCTGTGTAAGGTCTTTGTGGAACTAGATAGGTGAGTTCAGGAACCTCTTCCTTCAATGAATATTTTTAGCAGAGACCTCTTCATAGGCTTCACATATGAGTCTCACCCTCCTCAAAGGAATTTGCACTTTTGCAAACGTAAGCCTTCAATGAAGAGGGCATTGCCCTCGGGCATCTTTCCTCTTACCCAGTGCAAATTATGAAGTTTTCACATTCATCTCCCTCATCTCTTTAACAGTTACAGCTGCTTTCTCCACACATGGCTGATCTGCAGCTGTCAGCATTTCCCCTTCTTTGTCAAACTGTAAACATTTTGCATCTTTCTGCTCCACAGGCTGCTCACTCTCATTGTAAGAACGAATGCATGAGGACAAAACCCAGTAGTTATGACATAGCCTCAATGCTATGCTACATTGACATTTCCTCTACCAAACACGTTAGTCAGATCCTTTGGAATTCAGTCTCAAGTTCTCAGGACACTGGCAAAGACTTTGCTAGAACATAGCATGATGACTTCTAGTCTAATTCTTTGTAGAATCCCTGTTTTCTCTCTGGCACCTCATAGGCCAGGCCTCCAGTGTTTACATGTTTTTGCTATTCTGGTCTTCCACATTCCCATCAGAATATCCTATTAAAAGCTTCTTCTTCTTTTTTTTTTTTTTTAACATCTTAGGGTTTTTCTCTAATCTGGAGCTCAAAACTCTTCCTCCGAAAAGCTTGTGGTACAGGCCTATGAAATCGCACAACCAGGCTTTAGCGCTACAGTTCTGTTCTTGGTACCAGTATTCTGATGTTTCTTATTGCTATGGCAAAATACCTGAGGAAAATCAAATTAAGGAGGAAGGGTTCCGGTTGGCTCACTGTTTCAAAGGGTATACACTTCATCATAGCAGGAAGACAGGAAGAAGAGTGAGGAGGCTGTTCACGTTGTCTTTGCAGTCAGGAATCAGAAAAGAAAATGAATGTTGATGCTCAGCTAGTTTTTCTGGTTAATCTTTTTATTGCATCTGGAATCCTACGAAATGTTCCTGCTCACAATCAGGGTCTTAACTCACTGAGTTTAGCCTCTCTGGACATGTGTTCAGAAGTGAGTCTCCCAGGTAATTCTGAATCCACTCAAGTTGACAGGAAGATTGGCTGTTATAGATCTCAGTCTGAAGATGCTTGAAGTTTGCTCTCATTGAAGAAACTACCTGCCTGACATCATTGCTAAGCTATCAAACTTATGAACGTAAGAGCAAACTTTGGATGTTCCTTCTGAAACCTGTTCTTCCTGTGTCTTTCCAATCGTGATTTACAGCTGCAGTTGCTGAAACCAAAGATCTTAGCCTCATCCTTGTTTCCCTTCTATTTTGATCATTTTTCATCTCTAACTTTTAGAGAACACTGTCAGCTACACTTTCAAAACTGGCCCAGAAATCTGCCGTTTTTTTGTACCTGCTACATATGGTCTTGTTGCTTCTTAGATTCCATCCCGGGCCTTTAATTTACTTCCCATTGTGTCTCTTTACTGATGCTGCTTTTGATTTTACTATTATCTCATTTTGTATCCCTTTCTGCATGGGCTATGAACAGCACACTACCTCGTTTTTGTAGGTCTTTGCTAAAATGTCTCCTTTTCCGGTGCTTGTTTCCAGTCAATTCTGTATCAGTTTGTAAACTCTAGGCCTGAGACATCTTAACAATTTCTGTTTGCTACTCCTGATTTAATTAACCCCATGAACATATTTCACTTCCCACATAGCACATACTTTACATATTTTGTTTATTGTCCATGTTGTGCCACTCACGGGACGGTACTTGAGAACTACTTCAGGTACTTCAACTACCTGAAAGTGATGGGAAAAGTGTTTGCCTCTCACATGCTAATGCGTGTGTTATTTGAAGTCACAGGTACATATGAACAATGAAGCAGATTTGTATAAAATCAAACATGTGTTTTCAGGTCAAAAAAAATATGGAGGCCTTATATTGTAGCTCAAGCTAGTCTGAAACTCATTATATAGTCAAAGTTGCTTAACGACTTTGTATTTGACAAATAAAAAGTCCTAAATATACTCAACCAGACGTATCTTCTAAGGTTTTATAAATGGTTTTGTTAGGAGAATTTTTTTGGAAATATTAAGACGTAAATAATTTCATTTAAATGAAGGCCGACAAAAGCAGAACATTTTAAAGAAAGAAAGGGAAAGGAGAATACAGTATTGCAACTGAGTAGCATGTCTTTAATCACATCACATGGGAGGCAACGTCAGATAAATCTCTGTAACTCTGAGGTTAACCTCATCTACATAGTGAGATCTTGTTTCAGAGAGGAAGACAAGAGGGAGTTGGGAAGAAAGAGCGTTTAAAGATAGTGGTTTGAAAAAAAAAGATAGTGGTTTGAAATGAAGAAGGAGAAAAGGGGGAAAGTTTGGTAAAATAAAGAGCAGGGAATTGTCACGGGAGTAGGTTTCTTGGTGAGTTGGAAACAAGGGCATTAGACTTTGGCAGCAAGAGCATCACCAGGGACAACAACAAAGGCGTCTACCCAGGACAATGGGCAGGGCCCTACAATTAACCGAGGGTTGTACTTGCTGAATGCTCTCCTCTTCTGATCTCAATGTTATTCATAGTTTTATCAGTATAGTCACTACTGTGTCATTTCTCAATGAGTAATAGCAAATTATGAAACCATTCCTGAGAAGCACATACACACTCCCATTGTTCTGGAAGTGCAGGCAAAAACAATGATTTCAGATTACAGACTTTCAACATTTAGTAGTAGGAAGGTGAAGGAGCTCCCACACAATGGCATTGATTTCATCTTTTCTGAAGGGCAGAAGGTTGCCTCTAAGATGCAAAGAATACAGAGAAAGTGTGTTCCAGAATAGGGAAATGATTGAGGACCTATGTAGCCACTTGATCTAGATTCAAGTTGTGACTTTCACTTGCTCGGTGACTTCCCACAAGTCATTTCGCCTGCTTCAGCTGTAGTTTGCTGTCCTGTAGATAAAGAGTATAATGACATCTTAAGAGTGTGTTTGGTTGTAGTAACAACTATAAACCAGGAAAAAGAAATGACTAGGAGAAAGATCTAGAAACTACTCAAATATGTCCTCTCTGTGCAGATTCACATCTGCTGAGGGCAAAATATGACCTAGTCAGGATGAAAATCTACTTAGGGGCACAAAGCACAAAAACAACCCTTTCATTCTAAATACAAAATATATTTCCATGTATTTTGCATAAGAATGAGAAATTATTTTTTTTTTTTTGCAGATGTTAAAAAGAAGAGTGAAGAGAAAGCACAAGACCAACTGAAAAAGTCCCTAAATGACGACAAATGAAGACTTACAATTTATCCAGGGTGTTGATTTTATGCACATTGGGAGACATAGTGGCTGTGGCTTCCTGAAGTGTTTGATCTGGCAGTAACTGTGGTAATGTGTGCGTTTTAGGTAATGCTGTTGTGCTGCTCTGTCCTTAAACCGCAACCATGATCCCCAAATAGGTTATTAAAAGGTAGTACATTCAAATTGCACCCAAGGAGGAACACGCTGTTTATACATACAATGAAGTCCACTGTCTGTCTTGGGATTTACTTAGTCAGATGTGGTGTTTAACTATGTTCTTATTGATATGCATAAACCAAAAACCTATTAATTTAATACTTTGCAGAATTTGCAGGAAATTATATTTTTAGTGAGATGGTATTAGTAGTAAAAAAAATCACAGGTATAAAATGTGTTTATTTTTAATCAAAACTACACCATATTTCCCCCAAAAGTTAAGAGAGATCTGCAAATATTGTAGAAGTTGTGACAACGTAAACATCTCTAGGATGCTTTTGTCTAATGTATTTTGCAGCTAGTCTGTGTATACTGTGATCTTTCATATGGATGCACAGAATGTAAAATTTGTGGCAAATTGCTTACGTAAAATATGTGTAATAAATAAATTTCACTATATTCCTTAACTTGGATCATGTGTATGTCTTGTTTTATGTAAATTGTACAAGACATTGTGCGAGTTTCTCTAGGCTGTCTTTTCTTCTCTGGACTTCTGAGTGTGTGCAAATTGTTGCTAAAGTAATTTCATCAGGTGTGCTGACCTTAATTTTTATATTTTTCCTAAGTAGTCAACATGGCAGTAGTCACTTTAAATATTTGCATAATATACTATAAATAAAATTTGCAAAAGACATGCTTTTAATATATGTTTAATTATACTTTTTTTTTTAAAAAAGAACTGAAACAAAACCAAGGTGCTAACAAATTTTAACCTGTTACATAGTTTAGAAAAGTAATATAATTCTTAATCTTAAATTTTTGAATAATTTGTTTATATTTATGCAGGTAATTAAATTCTAATTGTTGACTTAGACTTTACCTGTTTACACTAACTAAATAAAATTTCACAGTAGAAATCCTTTACTGATACAATTTGCATTTGTTTTATCTTCTGAAGTACTCTGGGTATAAAGGGATGATGCTCCCGAAAGGATCACAGTGTCAGTCTTTGTACTTTAAATTACCTCCTGCTTGGGACTCTATTGACCAAGCTTAACTTTAGGATTATATACACCAAAGGGGGATTTCCAAGAGCTTCATTGTTTCCAGCTCTCAAATAAAATTTTTTTAACAAAATAATCAAAATTAGTATATAGGTGTGCATTAATGTCCAATAAGATATATTATAGCCATTAAAGTATTTATCAAAGTTGTCCAATGAGGGGAGACTGAGTGGTTGGCAGGACAAGCAGGGAGAATAGTTGATTCCAAATTAATTGAGGTTACAATTCAGCTTCCAGGAAGACTGGGGACAAAAGAAGTGAGCCCAGAAGAGACTGCTGCTGGAAGGCGTGAGTGGAGCTGGGATGCTGCCAGCAGCAGGTGAACATTCTTCATCCCCATAAAGTCCTCCACAGCAGAGCTGGCCAGCCTTAGCTGTCAGCGTTACTGAAGTTGTCAGCCTGGAGAACAAACTCCCTGGGTTTGAATTTTAACTCTACGTACTAGCTATACAATCTCGACCAATGAAGATCATGTCTGTAAGATTCCACCACATTCTCTATGGAATGACATCAATAATAGTCCACATCTTGTAGAGTGAGTGTGATGAGGGTGAGTTTCAATCTCAGCTCAACACACCCATGACCACCACCAGGGAAAGGAGTCTCTATGAAGAAATTCTTAGGTTAGTTTAGCCTATGGGGATGCTGTTGGGGGATTGTCTTGATTACATTAATTGATATGGGAAGGCCAGCCTGCTGTGAGTGGTACTCTTCTCTGGATTGGGGTCCTAGACTGTATATGAATGGAAAAAATGAGCCGAGTGGCTGTAGGGCGTGCTTGCCTTCTTTACTTCTCTGCTTTGGACTGCGGATGTGATGTGACAGGCCTTCTCGAGACAGTGGTGCTGTGCCTTCCTTTCAGCGATGGTCTGTCACCTGGAATTGTTAGCTAAAATAAACCCTTTCTCTCCTAAATTGCTTTCACCACAGCGATAGGAATAAATGAAAGCAGTGGGTGAAAGGAGTAGTGAGACAGTATGTGTAAACACTTGAGTAATGCCTGGGAGAAATGCCTTGATAAATATTACCCATTGTCGTCTCTTTTGCTTTTGGTCTTATTCTTTTGATAGATGGATAGACAGACTGATCAGTTGACTCTGATTTCACAAATGTCCCAAATTCATGGTATTGGGAGAACTGATTATACTGGAAATGGACAGTTAGAAATAATTAGCACATTATTATAAATACTGTCATGTTAATGAGTGATTGACAGGTGGAGTATTGGTGATGTGGGATTCCCCCTCTGTATGCTGTGAATACCATTGGTGAATAAAGAAACTGCCTTGGCCTGTTGATAGGGCAGAACTTAGATAGGTGTGGTGGGGGGAACCTAAACTGAAGACTGGGAGAAAGGAGGCAAAGTCAAAGAGAAGCCATGGAGTCGCTGCCAGAGACAGACGCTGGTAGGCTATGACCTCGTGGCAATACACAGATTAATCAAAATGGGTTAAATTAATATGTAAGAGTTAACCAATGAGAAGCTAGAGCAAATGGGCCAAGCAGTGTTTTAATTAATACAGTTTCTGTGTGGTTATTTCAGGACTAAGCATTGGGGAACTTACTAGAGGCCTCCTTACAACACATCGCTATTTGAAGATGAGTCTTCATCACTAGGGTTTTATGACAGTTGGCCAACAAATAATTGTGAGTCAGTATTTAACCAAGTCATTTTTTTTCTACAAAAATATAGAAGGAAAATAAGTAACATAGCTCTTGGGTAATGACATTTTCTTTTACTTACACCTAAACTATCTTTCCTCATTATTTCTAGTAGTGACAAACATTCTGGATTGTATATCTTCTAGAGCACAATTTATCATAGCTTGCACACACACACACACACACACACACACACTGTATTTTGTTTTACACAAGGTGCCACATTTGCTTACAAAGAATGTTTGGAGAAAGAGAATGTGTTTATTCTTTTGCTGAGGAACCAAGACAAAGGAAAAATCGAGGTCAGAAGTTGTTTAAAGACAAAATTGAATTTTCTCACCAGTTTTTTTATAAATGTAAAGAATATTATGTTTTTAGGAAGTAGACATTTTCAAAAGGAATTACTTGACTATGTACTTTCAGTGTATTAAAGTCTCTAGCCCATGTTTACATTGTTGATGTGTGCGCTGTCTGCTTGAGTCATTTATTAGAAAATCTTAGTTATCACTGTCAAATAACCAGGCTAAAATGGAACAAAAAAGCTATCAAGCCACTGTCTAGAAACTTAACTCTCTGTAAAGAAAGAAAAAGGATAACAAATGTGATCCACCCTGTGTCCTGTGCCCAGAGAGATTTCTGTGATCTTTGCATCTTCTCAGAATGTAACTAAAGGTGAGTATCCTACTGAAAAAGGAAATTATGCAGAATCTTAAGTGGTCTGGGCTTGCTGGGTGGATGATGGGAGAGGGGAGAAGAAAGGAGAGAATAAGAAAGGATGAGAGGAGAGGATGATGGGGAGGAAAGAAGAGGTGGAGGAAATAGAGGATCAAAAGGGAGAGGAAGAGGAGGAAAGAGAAGAAGAGGGAGAAGTGGAGATGGAAAGAGTGAGATGGGGAGGAAAGGGGAGAAGAGACAGGTAGGGGAAATGATAAAGAGAATAGAGAATACACAAGAAAGAAAAAAGGAAAAAAGACAAGAACCTGAGAGAAAGAAGGAAGAGAGGAGAGAGTAGAGGGAGGTAGAGAGCAGCTATGAAGAGTAAGGAGGTGGAAAGGGGTAGGGCCCAGGCAAGGGATGGGTGGGGATCTAACTGCTACTCACAAGCCCATCTCCTCTGTGCACCTGGCATCTTCTAAGCACAGCTCTGCTATTTGCTCTCATGACTCTGATTAATTATTGTATGCTGTTTGCTTCCATTTCTTCAATGCGTAAACCATTGAATTATTATAGAAGTGTAAGGACCAAATATTGGCAAGATTCTGAGCATGGTGCCAGGCACACAGCAAAAATCAAGGCTAGTTGCTAAGGCATAGAGGCTTGCTACAGCTTGAGGACCCTGGTCTGTCAATTTGCTTCCATGTCATTTGTTAAAATTTCCCTCTTTCTCCTTAGTCTTTTTTCCTCTTGCAGGACATTTTCTTATCTACAGCTGTGCTTGCTTCATTGGTGAATTCTTTCTCTCTAACCAGTTATTGATAACAGTTCTCAGATCATCAAACACGTGCTACCATTCAAAGATAGGTACACTGACCCAAACAAAAAGGAGAAGTTGAATCAGGAGTTCTTCTCACCTGATTGAATCCTGGAGCCAACTTCTCATTGAGCACCAAGAAGCAGGAAGAGTTAGAATGGCCATGCTCCCGGGGAACTGGGGACTGCTAAGAACATATTAGAGCCTTTTGAAGTTTCACGAAAATCATCTTACAAGCTCCTGATTCTCACTTAAAGTGAATAAAATAAGTTTGGAAGGTGTCCCTGAGAACTCTCATGGCGGCAATTGTGAGCCAGGGCAGAACTCTTAGAGCCCGGGTGGGCGCTGCCTCCCTTAAACCAAAAAGTCACTTGCCCACATGGGTCCAGTCAAGAGTCTTATTAAATTTGCCTGAATCCTAGGAAACCTGGAATGTTTATACAGGGAAAAATCACACAAAACTTGTTTGTTTGCCTTTCTTTTGCTCCCTCCCTCCCTCCTTCCCTCTCTCCCTTTCTCTCTCCTTCCCTCTCTCCCTTTCTCCCTCCCCCTCTTCCTCCCTTCCTTTCTCCTTCCCTTTCTTTTTCTTCCTTTCCTTCCAGAGAAGACTTCGTATGACAAATATAATAATCATCTCACTTATCATTAATTTTCAGGATGTGAACAAAATGGAAAATCCATGATTCTTGGGGTCCAGATGATAGTACTTGCAAAAGGGAAGGTGAGAGCATCTATCTGTGAAGGAAGAGGGATGCCACAGCTAGGTTCAGCCCTCTTTGTGTGTCTGGGGGCCTCCCACGATGGTAAATAGAACACAGAGTAGCACAGAACTTTCCGAAAGTGTGCTAGGTACCTTTGGAGCACTACGTCAAAACACCAGGGATAACCAAAAATGTGACAAGATTTTTTTTGAGCTTGTAGTTTCAGAGGTTTAACTGCAAGGTCTTGGAGAGAGCATGGAGTCAGCTTGGCCAGGGTCACAAACCTACTTTATAGGTCTAAACTTCCATCACAGGTTCCATCTCCTACCTCTGTGAGTAGTACCAAGGACACATTGAGTGACCCCTTCAAGGGACATTAGAGCTGCAAACTGTCACAATCTGGCAACCACTGACTATGAATGTCTTGAGTGCGTGTGCTATTGCCATCTGCCCTGGGACAGTGTGCCTTGAAGGTGCACGTCTTTGCACCAGTGAGCTGTTGCGCCTTAAGGAGCCGTTCTCCAGAAAGTAAGAAATTAACAAAGCACTTGCTACTCCTTAGATTCCAT